ACTGTCAAAGGCCTTCTCATAGTCATATAAAATTATACATAATAAAATTATACATAATAAAAGCAAAAAATAGTTAAGAAAACTTTGAGTACAGATTGTTTGTGTGGGGAATTGAGAAGCGGAAAAAGATGCCGAAAAATAAGAGGAAGAAAGCCTATCTGGAGGTATGTAGCACAGGCATCGGATATCGTGAGAGGAAAACTCAACCCTTGTCGTTAAATTAATTTATTAAATGCACCAGGGAAAATGTCAAAGCATGACCAAAAAAACCCACAATTTCATCATATAAATAAATCTTCCATCCACAAAGGCAAGATATTACACTTGAGAAGAAGGTTGCAGGAATAATTTGATGCAATTCTTATACTTATATATAAACAAAACAAAATCAAGACCACCGCAATAAGAATAATAAGATTAAAGTACAGAAAATAAAGAGGAGAGTTTCACCTGCAAAATACGATTTTCTTTTAAAAAAAAACACAACAAGATGAAAGCTCTTTTTCTTAGTAATAACTCTTTTGTGGTACAACTTAACTAGAATCTTTAATAGCCTGCTGTCCATCATCAAAACATAAAATCAACTAAATACCGGTCCCTGGCCTATATATAAAAAAAGTCTTTTTCAGTTCCTTCTTGTTCTCACAGAACCAGTACCTGAGGCAGAGTAAAAAAGCTTAAAAAGCTCATCACGAAAAGCTTTTCGGTCCATTTTATCAATAGATTTTAAGAGGGCATAGCCTCTAGTGTTTTCATATTCAAGAACAAGCAAAAAACAATAAAACAATTGAAATTAAAACCAATATTAAAGTTAGTTATAAAATAGTCAATAAAAACAAAACAACATAGCTTTTCATCACACATGGATGGTCATGTAAACTAAAGTCAAGGAAGTTTTGTTTGCCTAGAAAAAGGAAAAGTATCATGCCTGGCAGTGGCAATTCCCATATTCATAATTTTTATGTGAAACAAAGATAAGTGTTGTGAGAGTATTTTGAGGAAGTGAGTAAATTGCAACATCACAGCAGCAATGAAACATTTGTAGGATGATAATAAGAAAAGAGATGCAAAATATTGATCAAAGGTTGAGAGGCGTGTGAGTGGTTGTAAACCGTTGTATGGAAAACCCTAAAAACCAACTGCTCTAACATTAGTCGACCGTCTTTCCTTTCTCTGAAAAGTCCTTGAGACAGCTACAGATTGTTTTCAATTTAGACACTTGTCTTTAGTCAAGATATTCAAATTCTTATAGAGAACAGTCACATTTTTCAGTTTTGCAAAGGCAGAGCTGTTCTCCTTTTCGACTTCCATGTCACTCAACTGCCAATGCATACACTCATTATAACTTGACTTGTATGAGAAAATGCTTTAAAGTTTTAAAAAAATGTTTCTTAGACTGACAATATTTCAAGCTAGATCAAATTAATTGCCCTGGGATCAAAGAGGACAAAATTAAGAATATTTTCCAACTTTTCCCATGAACAACAACTGGTCACTTGACTCGAAAAGTGAGGGTATATACATGGATTAACTTTAGACTACACAAAAACAAAGAAACTCCTCACAACATTTCCCAATCAACAAAGTCAATGTGACATTTGCCGGGTTGTTGTTAAAGTATGTATTGTAACTCCGGGTTTTGTAGAAAATCACTATCATTTACATTTTCCGGGACACATGGAAGGGGCGCATGCCTTAAACTTAAAAACATCAGTACTTCGATAATACATATTGCAAAAATACACAAACAAATTAGAATACCTCCAAGAATTGTTGCCGTACGTTGTGGCAAAGATTTAGCTTTTGAACCCTCCTGTAAATTTTGAAAACCAGAGTTATGGTAGTCTTAGGGCCTCTGTAGTTTTAATACTTGAGCGGCTTACCGGTGATATATAGAGATGGACAGATCAGTCAATATGTACATGCATGACATATATATGAAAAAAATAGCCCAAAGTCTGGTTAGACCACGCAGTCAGTGTATAAAAAGTTTTCCAAATTTTCAGTCCTGTGAACCGCTGTCAAAATTTCACAATAGATTTTTAAGTCTTACAGAACCAACTAGTGGGTAACCACCAAAAGGGAGCTCACAAGCAAGTGCACTCATAATTTATATCTCTTACAAAAATTTGAACTGAACAAAAACATAAGTTTATGACTTATTGGATCATTTTTCCTTTAAAAAAAAGTCTCTAGATTCAACATCCACACACCATGAAAAAAATATTGGGGAAACGGGGGAACATATTTCCATTAGAGGGGTAAGGACAGCCCCTCCCTTCCATTATTCGGCGATTAAAGATATCGCAGTGTCAGTATCAGAAGCGAGTGCATAGTCTCTCTGATTACAATCAGGGTTGGTTTCTAACAGAACTTTTGGGGGTCCCAATCATTCACACAAATCAAGATTCGGGGGGGATCAACAAAGTTAAATATTTATCGAAGAAGCATCGTCTGCTGCACCTGCACTGAACAGAAAAAACTAAATTCTTTTTTGTACTAACAAGACGTTGACTATTTTGTTGCAATAATAGCCATTATGTTGTGTGTATGGGACAGTATATTTTCAACAGTTTAAGAACAATTGCCTTATTAACTTATAACATTTTATCATCCTCAATTACTCAATTTTATAACAAACCCAGTTTTTAGGCATTGATTAAAACCAGACTGTGATTTTTTATATAAAACGAAGTGACTATTTCTCCGAACGTTCGGGAAAATAAAGCTGAACTCTATTTCTCCGAACGGTTTCCGATCTCGAGATTGTTTGGGTTATTTGCAAGACTTAGGCGTCATCCTTCCATTCTGCCAGTACAGGGAAGAAGCATTTTTTGCATGGCCACCTCTATTCTCACCCCGGGTGAGAATAGTGCAGGCGAGTCTTTTGGCTATTCTCACCCGGTGGGCGTTCACCGTTATAATAGTATAATAGCCTAGGCCAACCAGTTAGGCGTTCACCCTGAACCACAGAATTCTACACTGTATAACAGAATTGTAGAATTCTGTGCCGTGAACAAACGTTCTATTGCTACTGTTAGTGTTAGCCTAAAAGCGTGCAATTTTGCCTGTGGACAGTGGAGAGAGAGAGAGGAGTAGCGCGAGAACTTCCGGGCAAAAGAAAATGGTGAACCGCGTAGTTCGGCTTGATTCGGAAAGTTAAATAGCCGTAGCATCTTTGTAGACGACCAAATTAATTTACTTTTATGTTTTAACATCATTTTAAAACTTTGTTTTGGTCAATTTTATCGTCCACACCGATAGACAGTATTCAGAAAGAGAGAGAGAGAGAGAGAGAGAGAGAGAGAGAGAGAGAGAGAGAGAGAGAGAGAGAGAGAGAGAGAGAGGGGGGGGGGGGAGGAGTAGATCTTGCGAGAACTTTCGGGCAAAACAAAATGGCGACCCGTGTAGTTCGGCTCGATTCGAAAAGTGAAATAGCCATAGCATCTTTGAAGACGATCAAATAAGCTTTAAAAACTTTTGTGCTATAACGTATTTTTTTCCTTGGCTTTTATCAATTTGATCATCCACACCGATAGACAGTATTCTGAAATGAGGAAAAACAGGTCTTGTTTCACACCGGGTGAGAATAGCCCACTTCCTTTTTGTATCAAATTCAATTTCTAGAGCTAGAGATTTTCAAATCATGTCATGTCTGAATATTCAAGATGTACCTTCAGTTGTGGTTGGGGCAACGTTCCCGGACTATTTGAAAATACCTTCAAAAGGTACTGCGAGAAAACCAGACTGCTAGACCTTGGCAGTAACCTATTTTGCATTTAGTCACCCAGCAAAAACTAAAATCTTTTATATAATATTTTTAAAAATCCCTGCACCCCCCCCCCACACCTTACACACACACAGACACACTCACACACACATGGGCCACTCCATTCGCTTCAACAAATCTTGAGAACGGAAACCCTTCGAAGACATAGAGTTCAAGTTTATTTTCTCGAACGTTCGGAGAAAAAGAGTCGGTCATTTTATTTTTTTATAATTCATGCCAGAATAAATTCAAAATTCAAAACTATGATAGAACTGTAACTTGTGTCAAGTTCATTCATGATGTTATAAGAGATGACAGATGAGGAAAAAGTTCATGAATCATGATCATTGTCATAAAATTCTCAGAGGCCAAAATTTTTTTTCCCTGCTAAATTAAATTTTATGTACAAGACTTACCTCATTTTGAAGTTCAGTGGATACTGTCCTTTCCTATCCCTTTAGACTGGAGGTCTTTACTCCAATATCCCTTTAAGGGGGTAAATGTGTCTCTCGACGGAAACAGTCAAAAACTGGAAGTTGAAGAGGAGATTTACTGGAATCTGGCTGGAGACTGCTGGTCAATCATTGACTCACTCAGGTCAGTAGGGGTATGCCCAGTTTTCACGTCCTCAAGAAAAACAAATTCAAGACTGAATTATTGTATACAGGGCTAAAACGTTTGTACAATAGCCAAATTCGTCCAGGAAATAGCACACACCTTTTTCTATTCACAAAGTAATAGATAGATAGTACTCAGTCTTGATTTGGACGCTTCAGACAAAATGAAAGTGAGCAAATCCACTAGCCTAGATTCTACTTTTCTTGCCAAAACACACACTAAAAGATACTGCTAAGAATTTCAATTACATCCCTCAGGGGGAAATCAGCCCACACTGATTTCCATTTAGAAAAATGGAACAGAAATATTGTTTGTGTGGGACACAATGTGTAAAAAACAACAAAAAACACGCTAATCGGTTCAGAGACAAGGAACTCAAACTGCGATGAATCAGAATGGCAGTCTCACTTCCTACATTGACGCCATGTTAGTGGTGAATCATTCACTGCATACTTTTTGAGAAAAAAAAGCATATGCTTTTTCAATAAAAGATAATTTCACCAGAAGCATACATTGTAAAAATTAGAAAATTACCTTCATCAGTTTATTTTTTTGTTTCAAATAGGAAAAACAGACACACCTAGATCTAGCTTTTGCTCCGATACTGTACAGGAAGTTGAATGCCTTTTCTACTGCAGTGTTGATCCAATGATCAGTGGATCACAGATCCAACACATTGTGGATCCAACAGCTGGAACCGTCTACTTCCCAGCATTCTGGTTGTACCGTCAAAGTAAAAGATGACATATTTCACTTCTTGGGAAGAATTTTCTAAATCTGCTGAAAGACTTTACCTCAATGACCCGATGAAGGTACCGTAAACGCACTTGATTTGATCAAGGGTGAAGATTGAAGATTAGAAATTAGAAATTAGAATGGCCACCTCCTCTATTCTCGGGTGAGAATAGTGCAGGCGAGTCTTTTGGCTGTTCTCACCCGGTGCACGTTCACCGTTATAGCCTAGATCTAGGCCAACAAATTTTGCGTAGAATTCTACACTGTGATAACAGACAAATTGTAGAATTCTGTGCCGTGAACAAACGTTCCATTACAACTCTTGTAGCCTAGATCTACTAAAAGTAAAAGCGTACAATTTTGTCTGTGGGCAGTGAAGAGAGAAAGAGAGAGAGGAGTAGCGCGAGAACTTCCAGGCAAAACAAAATGGCGACCCGCGTAGTTCGGCTCGATTCGAAAAGTTAAATTGCCGTAGCATCTTTGTAGACAACCAAATTAATTAACTTTTGTGTTTTAACATCATTTTTTAACTTTGTTTTGGTCAATTTGATCGTCCACACCGATAGACAGTATTCAGAAAGAGACAGAGAGAGAGAAGAGGGGAGGAGTAGATCTTGCGAGAACTTCCGGGCGGGTGAGAATAGCCACTTTCAAGTAGAATACCGGATCGGCGGACTGGGACTACTAGTACTAGTCTACTAACTCTTGCCTATGTCTCAACCTTAGGAATTCATGATTTTCCCCAGTTTTTAATATCTCTCAATGGAGAATCTCGGACCAGTAGATCTAGGTGCTTTTTCAGTAGTTCCCACTCCCCTTATTTGAGCCTGACCTAGCCTACATCGAGATCTAGATCTAGAGTCTATAGATACGTTTGATGCACGACGAGCTAAGATAATAATTAATAACGATATCAAACCTCTAACAATTTCAAAACATCAAATTATGGTAAAATTCAGGGCGGTATGCCCCCCTGAAACCCCCAACCATATTTTTATGGCCACCTCTGTTCTCACCCAGGGTGAGAATAGTGCAGCTGAGTCTTTTGGCTATTCTCACCCGGTGCGCGTTCACCGTTATAGCCTAGATCTAGGCCAACCAATTTTGCGTTCACCCTAAACCACAGAAGGTAAGCCCCACAGAATTCTACACTGTGATAACAGAAAAATTGTAGAATTCTGTGCCGTGAACAAACGTTCCATTACTACTGTTAGCCTACTAAAAGCGTACAATTTTGTCTGTGGGCAGTGGAGAGAGAGAGGAGTAGCGTGAGAACTTCCGGGCAAAACAAAATGGCGACCCGCGTAGTTCTGCTCGATTTGAAAAGTTAAATAGCCGTAGCATCTTTGTAGATGACCAAATTAATTTACTTTTGTGTTTTAACATCATTTTTTAACTTTGTTTGGGTCAATTTGATCGTCCACACCGATAGACAGTATTCAGAAAGAGAGAGAGAAGAGGGGAGGAGTAGATCTTGCGAGAACTTTCGACCAAAACAAAATGGCGACCCCCGTAGTTCGACTCGATTCGAAAAGTGAAATAGCCAAAGCATCTTTGTAGTCGATAAAATTAGCTTACTTTTGTGCTATAACGTAATCTTTTCTTTGCCTTTATCCATTTGATCATCCACATCGATAGAAAGTATTCCGAAATTAGGAAAAACAGGTCTTGTTTCACACCGGGTGAGAATAGCTTCTTTTTTTTTTTTTTGACTTTGTGCTAGACTTTTTACATGAGGGCCATTGCAGGTTCTTTTTTGGGGTAGGCCTAGGGGTAGGGTTTGGGTTAAGGTTAGGTCTCTTTCTTTTTTATTGTGTTTGTTCGGGTCATCGCTCGTTACTCGGAAGCCCTTCCTAAGTTCCTTTTATGACATCCACAATTTAAAAGCTCTTATAAGTTATGGGGAGGGGGGGGGTGCGCAAAAATTTCAGACAATCTGGTTGAGGCTCACATGCAGGGCTACTTAAGGCAGATAAAGATACGTTAGTGGAAATTTTTTATGCTCTATTTGAAAAGGTTTGGCAAAAGGAGGAAATACCATCAGACTGGAAGGAAGGCCACCTAATCAAGCTGCCAAAGAAGGGAGACCTCAGCAATTGTAACAACTTCAGACATTACACTCCTGCCCATACCTGGGAAAGTCTTTAACATATTACACCCTAAGGGTCTGGGCGGGAAGTCCATTGTTAGATCCTAAGCAAGGGGAAGGAACCCACCTCCCGTGAATACAAGCCTTAAAAAAACACATTAAAAAAATACTAAACAAATTCCAAAAATCCTGAAAAAATACAAGTTCAAACGAATAATGAATGCTGTTTCAGAAAAATATAACTTTATAATGTATGCTTAAACTGTTGGAAATGTTCTAACTTAGTTCAATCGGGATGTCCGACCCGTCACTCTCTCTCTAAGCCTTACGGTCGTAATCTAGATCTAAATTCTAGATTTTCTACGTCTGATCAATCTTAAAAAAATTGCCCCAAACTGTTGCTACGTTTTCATCAAAATCCGAGTCATCTGATTTGTCATGCTTGTTTTTGCTCAAATCCATAGTTTTTTCCTAAATTTCGAACTCAATTGTGTAGCTATGCCCACCGAGCGTGTTTTGTTCTGCTGATTTTTTGCCCCTGCCGTGGGGGTGTTTCGTGGGACGAACTAACGCAAAGGTTGTTGTCTTCAACTTGCTCTCACGCCGCTTCTCGTGAATGGATATGAATTAAACTTGGCAGCCAATCAGAAAAGAGGTCAATCTCGTAGTATGCAGTTTGACAACTTTGTACCCATCCAAGAAGCAGTTGAAAACGTGATTTGTCAAACTGACTGATACATTGTACACCATTTTTCTTTATTTCCTTGAAATTTCATGCTTCTGTGTTTAGCGGTTTTTGCGTAATCTTTAAAGATGTGGGAGTAACTAAGTTACTAAGGGAAAAGCGGCATTGCCATTTGCGTGTACTGGGTGAAGGACCGGTGGCTGGGAAATTTCCACTGAGTGACGCCATCAGCCATCGGTCGCCTCGGGCGCTACAAACGAGGCCCCGCATATGTGAACTGGAAAGGGGGGGGAGGATACTTGAAAACTAAACGGGGGCCTTGTAACTTGCATTTTTGTTGCATTTTAGTCACAATACAATAGATGTAGTCATTTTTATTTACTTGATTGCAGGACAGAGGAATAGAAACAGAATAGCAAACATCTTGAGAAGTGGTATAGCATTGTGTTTGCGTTATGAAAGCCTATTCCCCCCTCTTGGGAAAGCACACACTTGGACTCGTCCTGTGTGCTCTGTTTGGAAAAGTGAGGCATTAAGATTGTTATTAAAGAGTATGGTACTTATTTAGTCCAGTCAGGGAAGATAATCCCGTTTATACATTGTTATCGTTCACGCGTGCGTGCGTGAGTGCGCGCATGTGCATGTGTGTGTGTGTGTGTGTGTGAGAGAGAGAGAGAGAAAAGGGGGGGGGGGGTGTAAATATGTTACATTTATAGTATGAGTTGTTGCCTACACATGCAAAATATTCTCATGACTTCTGACCATTTGTAACACGGCTCAACAGATGATAATAAAACCAAATCTTCTCTCAAAGCTGATTGGTAGTTAGCCGTTAAAAAATGATAAGCGATCAAACATAACGCAAAATGCAATGAAGTCGTCAATCATTAAAGTAGCCTATCGAAATAAGTGATAACACATGGCAGCATGGCGTGTAGTCACTCAGCTGGATCACGTTACATTATCAATCATGTCGGACACAATTCAAATTCCAAATTTTTCTTCCAAACTCATTGGGCACTATTTATAACTTCGACCTGCAATTTTCTACATCATTTACGATACAGTGGAATCCTGTTAGGGGACCAGTACGAAATGTCCGTTAAAGCAGGTTTCTCGTTATAAGGGATCCAGTAATAAATTCAAAGGAAATAATAAAGTAGGCCTAATCTATGAGTTTGGTGTTCTGTTTATTTCTTTTTGTTATCTCCCCTGATGATGGTGTTGCTCAACATGACCTCAAGGTCTTGCTTGATCAAAAACCGAATCGGGTTTCTTTCTCTGGCGTTACCGATGTTGACAGCTCGGTGTTGGCGATCAGGACAAAAAGTTCTCTAGGCTAACTCGCCTACTGTGTTTTCCCCCGCCCCACCTCACCCTGTAGTGCGTTCCTGCGTCTGCCTGCGCACGTCACACATTCGCTCCATGATCCATCACAGCACTGTGACCTCTCCATCCCCGCATCGGAGAAGTGAGAGGCATGATAGGCCTAGATAATCTAGACTAGGCTGGCCTATCACTATCAGGCAATGCGTTCTGCTTCATAACAGCTTGTCTTCACATGCCACACCCTCCCCACTCATTCGCTCCGGCCTTCATCTTTGGCACACATGGGCTGTCCCATTCTTTGTTTCGCTAGATCACCAAGTTTCTCTACTGGCGTGGTTTTACATTGGCCTATGCGCTGTGCACAGCAGCAGGAATATTTCGCTATAACCGACTCGCGCGTTTATCTGATTGCGCTATAGCAGTATTTTATTTACAAAAATAAAGAATGGAAAAAAACGGGGTTTTAGAATAACGTCTTTTTAACAGACTTCTCGTTATTTCAGGACTCGTTTTAAGTGGACTCCACTGTATAAGGAATACTGAAACTTCCCTTATTAAGAAGGTCAGAGTCCATGGCCTTTACTTTGTAACTTAGCCAGCGCACTTCTCTGTCAAAGTAGGTCAGTCCTATATATAGGGCCTGCATGCTTCCCAGGTAGTTCGGCTCATGCCGTTTATATATGGTTGTCACGCTTCCAGATATGTAGATCTAGGTTTCAAGTGTAGAATCTAGAGATCTCAAGATATAAAGTGAAGTAGGATGCACATAGTGAAAACACACACAGGGAAGATGCATAACAGTGTTGAACGCAAATAACGCAAAAAGAAAAATACCTCAATAGGGGAAAATGTGACTGTGTCGCATCTGCATCTTGAGGTGTAATGAAATTCGGTGTCTGGAATGCTTGTGTTCCCCCTCCCTCCCTTCAGGCTCACACACCCTCACTCGCACGCTCAAACACACACTGCCACAGGTGCTGACTACCAGTCTAACCTCTTTTGACATCATACCATACGGGCAGCTTCCACCCAGACACGTGCGCACACAGTCACACATGCTGGCCGCCTGTCCAACTCTGAAAATACGCTAAGACACACATGTACGTGCCAACAATGTGTATGTTGGTATGAAAGAAGGCCGCTGATTGATTGGTAGCATAAGATATATAGAAATAGAAGGCTATGCAAATAATGGTTCATGATGCAGATGCCGTGATCTCCAGGAATAGATAGGTTCGTTGTAGGAGAAAAATGAGTGAAGCCATGTCAGCAGGGGCTGTTCACCTTGCTTGCAACTTCGTTGAGTCTGAGATTGCTCATTATATGTGTTTGTTGAATCCAAGTTATTTTTATTGATTTTAATGAGAAAAAAAAAAGGGTGGTGGGCTCCATCTCCTGCGTTTGAATACCAGTTTTCGTTAAATCTGAGTTCCACTGTATTGTGTTTCTGTGTATATGTGTGCAAAAGTTTGTGTGTCAAGTGTGTGTGTGAGGGAAATGTAGAGCCAGAAAGACAGCAAGAGACCCTCACCCAGACGGACGGACAGAGGCAGGGAGAGAGAGAGACAGAGACAGAGTGTGTGTTTGTGTGCTCTACGACTTTTCCAGTTGTGTGTTGGCTGATCTCCTGTTGCTGTTTTCAGAGATATTCAGAGTTTTACAATGGGGTGCTTTTGGGTTTCACACATCAAGGCTTTTTGTAATATACTCCTCTATCTATATGTTTTCAGTGTCGCTTTGTAACAAGTTACAGACATACAGATGGGAAGCTGATGGTCAAAATTACAGATGATAAAGTGGTAAGTGTTTCATTCCTTCTCGTCACATCATGAATTGAGATTGTGAATCATGTCTCATTTCCTCATTTTTAAATTTGGAAGTTTAGAAATCTTTTATAAAGATGCCATTTTTGTTGGCCTGCTTCAAAATGTCACAAAGTCAAGCCATTTTAAGTAGGCCTACCCAGTTTTGTCATGCCTTAACAAAATTGTGACTTAAAAAAAAAATGGAATGGTGTTCATAGGGATCTAGGGATCTTCATTGGTCAAATTGATTTGTTTTGTTGAATACTCCCAAATTTTTTTACCCAAGCAAACATGACCTGATTTAATGCAGGATTGGGTTCAGACTTTTAAGTTTATGGAGCAAGGGAAATGAGTCTTTCTGCCTACCACGTAACCATTGCAGGGTTGATTCAATCAAGGTGGTAGAATTATCTGAGCTTAAGATACAGTAGTCTCCGCATAAACACGCACCAAACAAAAGCGTGCTTCTCTCAAACGCATGCTTTCATCCTATGACAGGTTTTTTACTCTATAATTTTTAGAGGTAAAAATGCTCGGACTCTTTCTCTAAACGCACGCTTTGATTCGCGAAACACACCAACAAGTAAAGTTTGACAAAGGGAAATTTTCACTCCAACCTACAACACCTTGCAAGAAAAGGCTTAGACAACCTGATATTTTAACGTATTAAAGTATTTGTTCAACGAATCACAAGACGAAAGATTCTCGGAATGTCTGATGTCATACATATGTATTTTACGGAGTTGCACTAGATAACAGGCAGTCAGGAGTTGTTGCTTTGAAAGCTGGGTGGTTGAGCTCTCTTCCCTATACAGTAGAACATGACTATAGCAGCACCCGCTACAGCGGGACCTTACCGGAATCCCCTTCTTTCTTTCTATTTCTATGTAAACTCAATTACCTGTGCTTGGGTTTAGTGTGGCAAGGAAAGGCCCGAACTCGGATACAGCGGGAGAGAGCGAGTGAGCTCTAGCTCGGGGGAAGGGGGTTGGGGGGCTGTAGGCGGGCTTCAAACAGGCAGTTAGCTGTTCACCATTGTGATTGGCCAGTTCAGTGATGAGCAAGGTAGGGCAGGCGGCAGAGAGAGATGGTGCAGAGAGACGCGTTACGTAAGCCACTCCAAAAGTGATGTGCCGTAGCTTTTTTTTTTGTCTTTTTTTTTTTGTGTAAAGTGTTTTACGGCGCTCGCAACTGCATAAGGTCATATGAGCGCCAGAAGATTAGAGGTGTTGCAAGAGAGCAACAAACATAAAAAAGAAGAAGGGGAGATAAGGATGATACTGTCGATAGATGTTTGATAGGAAAGAAGAAGCAAACCACACCAGAGCACCCGCCAACCACCCACCATAAAACTGCAGGGACAGATTATTTCTGTTCATTGTCAGGAGAGGTGGACCACTACCCTACTTGTAGGTTTAGTAGGTGAAGACCGTGAAGCACACAATCTTTAAATTTACTCCAGAGGGTTGTTTAGTATACAGTCGAACCTGTGTAAGATGGAATCGCAAGGGAGCGAGAAAAAAATTCCGTCTTAGACATTTTCCATCTTAGACAGGGGAATTTAGGAGGAGATGCAAAGGAGGTGAGGGGGGGGGGAGGTTCAAAGGCCCAGCCGGTGGGATCAAGGATCGCTTGTCTGATCGGCAAGCAACGGTCAAGACTTCACACCTCTCCATTGCTATGACATGCGTCAGTCTTACTTATCCAATTACCACCAGTGCTTGCCTTTCATAGGACCACTGTTT